GGGGGAATCTCCTCAACCACCACCAGTGTGCAGCATCCACCTGGATGATGCGACGGCAGCCATATTGCGCCAGAACGCCCACCACACACCAGCTTATTGGTGGAGAGGAGACAGAGTGATGAAGCCAATCAGCAGATATGGGGATGGTTAGGAGGCCATGATGGTCAGAGGCCAATGGACGAATTTGGCCAGGATGCCAAATTACTCCACTCTTCAGGATCACATGATCCTTCAGAAATCATTCTAATATGCTGGTGCTCAAGAAATATTTCTTCTTATTATCAATGTTGAAAACAGTTGTGCATAAAATTTTTGTTGGAAATCGTAATACATTATTTTTTCCAGGATTCTTTGATAAACAGAACATTCAAAAGATCAACATTTATATGAAATTTAAATCATTTGTAGCATTATCAATGTCTTCACTGTCACTTTTGATCAATTTAATGCATCCTTGCTGAATAAAAGTATTAGTTTCTCTATTGACCATAATATATATATATATAAAATCTGTTTCTGAACTTTCTATACCCCAACCCAGTTTTCTCCTCTCGCAGCTCCAGATGAATGAGGGATATTCTTGGTAGCGAAATACAGACCGAATTTAATTAACACTGTCATACTTCAGCTAAAGATTTGATAATGACTCCCAGTGTACAGTTGGAAAGTGAGAGATGAGCTATCAAACGGAGAGAGAAACTATCACAGTGGGATAATCCACTCAAATTAGATTTAGCCAAAAACCCACGGATACGACATTAAACACAATTTCAAAAGTAATCCCATTTAAAATCTCTAATGTATGAGTCACGGTGCATTTGGAATTGGAAAATTGTAGAAAGCGTGATGCAACAAGCTCAGCTAGCGGCCCTTAAAGAACAAACAGTGCAGCTGAACAGAAGACGTTCTTCAAATGTTCTTCATAGCGGGATTTCCAGGAGGAATGAAGAGGTCCTTTGAGAACAGGTACGAAACATCGCAAAATTAAGATTTTACAGTGTGGTTTCCTTTAGAGACACACACGCACACACTCAATGAGCAGAATCACCATAAGTGAATATGTGAATGTCTAATGAGATTGAGAGTGGTGAGAACAGATTCCCGCTGGTGAGCTGGCAAAGCCTTCATAACCTGACAGGGAGATTTCTCAGTGAACATATGCCGCCTGCTTCTCTCGCTCATTCACACACATGCATGCTCTCACATGTTCATCTACAAATATATATATATACATTATTATATAACTATTTGGATAACACACAAAATATGCATTGTCTCAAACTATACTTAAGTGGTAGATTATGAGGCAAAACTGTGGATTTGCGTCAGTTTTAAAATAAATTAAAGTATACAGAGGCACTATGTTTTCACCTACACAGTAAAATTGCCTGTTGGCGGAATAGTTGTTCAGTTGAACAGTATTTATGCAAGAACTTTTCCACTAATTTTGTAAATGTAAAGTTCTGCCAACCGCTTCCAGGGTTATTATAGAGAACTAAAATTAAAACCAAAAATATAAACCTTTACATTACTTGAAATACTGAAATAAAATATAAAAACACTCATTTTCATTTAGTTTAACTTGACGTACTAAAATAACCAAAACTAAAACAAAAATGAATATAAACTATATAGATGTATTTAATGCCCTGGTGCATCTATTAAAAATAAAAAATTAAATAAATTAAAAACAATTACTGAAACTTTTTTTCTCTCTTTTAAATTTTTTTTTTTTAATTAATAAAAACTTAAAAACTTAAAAACAGACAATTAAAAAAATAAGAACTAAATAAAATCAATTAATAAAAACTATAATAGTATATCTCATTGACCACTTTTCAATTGAAATAAAATACTTCTATTTTACAAATGCAAACATGATATTCTTATATTACATTCACTCTGGGCTCTCACTATGAGTCCATGAAATATTTGTAAATATTATTCAGTAGTCTCTTAACTTTGGTAGGGACATTTCTGTACATTCATACCCAAGCCTACACTCATGTGAGATACTACGGTGTGAAAATGAGTGAAAATTGGAAGAAAACAGCAAAAGAATGTGTGAAAAAGGCACAAGTGCAATGAAAAATGCACTGATATGGTTCCCAAAAACAATTAGCAGACCTTATTAGCTAAAAAATTATTTAATTTAGTCACTTAATTAGAAATTGTATGCATCCAACGCATCTTAAACCCATAAAACACAAACCCACCTCCAACCACTGGCCATGGGACTGCATTTTGATGACCACGCAGGGATCTGGCTTGGAGAGGGCATCCCTGTCTGAGATGCCTTTGCAGGCGACCCGCAGCTCTACTTTGGTCAGGCAGGGGCTGTTGAACAGGCCCAGAGAATTGGCTGCAGACTCATAGATGTCACTCATGTTTCAGGAGATACTTGTGCTAAAAGGGAAAAAAAACAGTACAGTTTTATTATAATTTTCTTTTAGATGTCAAAGTAATGTGATTTATTATATTTAACAATTTAAAAATATCACAGATATACAAAAATGTGTCCAACTGACAGAGAAATCAAACAAATTAGTTTCTCTATTGACCATAATATATATATATATAAAATCTGTTTCTGAACTTTCTATACCCCAACCCAGTTTTCTCCTCTCGCAGCTCCAGATGAATGAGGGATATTCTTGGTAGCGAAATACAGACCGAATTTAATTAACACTGTCATACTTCAGCTAAAGATTTGATAATGACTCCCAGTGTACAGTTGGAAAGTGAGAGATGAGCTATCAAACGGAGAGAGAAACTATCACAGTGGGATAATCCACTCAAATTAGATTTAGCCAAAAACCCACGGATATGAAATTTAAGTCACTGGGACACTCAATACAATAGCATGCATAAGTGACATTTCCAGATAAATGAGTCTGACCCATAATAGCACTGAATACTGGAGGAAACGGGTTAAGAGGTGTGAAGAGAAATGCAATCACGACTGTAATGTCACATTGCTTTTGTTTGTTGAGCTAGAAATGTAAATTTGCTTCAGGCAACATCAGAGAAACTAAATATCATGATATTTCTCTCTTAAAGGCAGAGTAAGGGATTTCTGGTAGCCAATGTTTATATTTGAAATCACCAAAATAGATGTCACTCATGTTTCAGGAGATACTTGTGCTAAAAGGGAAAAAAAACAGTACAGTTTTATTATAATTTTCTTTTAGATGTCAAAGTAATGTGATTTATTATATTTAACAATTTAAAAATATCACAGATATACAAAAATGTGTCCAACTGACAGAGAAATCAAACAACCTGTTTGCAAAATAAATTGCTGTGGACTGTAAACCAGTGGTATTCAATATGTTCAATTAAATTCAGTTAATTCAATTAAAGGTGATTGACAGTTTTAATGTTTTCGTATTTTTTTTTGTATCACAAAATCAGTGGCATAAAATAAAAACCAGATGAAGTCAGATAATTTCTTTACTTTTTTCTGTTTAAAGACTGCAAATAAGTCTGGTTTTGATGCATGGTGGATATTTGCATATTTCAAAATACTGGGAAAGAAAATAAATGTGTGATTTGCTACATAACGGCCCACAATTTTTCACTGTGAACGTATTATGCCTGTGTGTTTATAATGAGACATGTGGGAATCCTATAGAGACAGTAATTTATTGAGCTGATGTGTAGGAAAATTTCTAATCAGAATCCCCCACCATCCCAATCAGCTATAATATAGAGCAAATCAGCTAGCTGAAATTACACAGCGTATGCGGAGAGGGAGGGAAAAGAAGAGATAATTCTGAGCTGATGGATGGATATTAAATGATGGATGTCTTAATATAGAGAAAGAAAATCCCAGAATGTGCAGTAGTGATGCTTGCCTTAGCAAACAAAAACTCTAATGGCAGAAAACACATCTTTAAATTGTTATGTTGCTTTAGTTACTGTCAGAGCTTTCAAATTTAATTAAATATTATGAAATTGTGGCTGCGATTCACACAGACCAGTATTCCAGCCAAAAGCTGGACCATGAGCGAAGATCTGACCTATGAGAACCGCACTGTGAAAGAGAACAACTCAATGAAAGGATTATTCTCAGCCAATGCAAAGTCACCCATCACTCCCACTGTATCGCACTGACAGCTGACAGCCTCATACATTATAGGTCAGCAGCGATAATACGGAGGTGAGCGGTTCTCTCCCTCTGTGCATGTGTGCAAACATCTCAACATCAACGGCAAACTACGTCATCAGTCTTTCATCCTCTGGATGCTATTTTTGAGTGTTTTCTCAGCCAGTTTCCCCTCTATTTCTGTCTCTGTTAATGACTCTCACTGAGCCTTTTTAGACACGCACAATGTCTGCAGCAGAAATATAATTGCTCAAGAAATCTTCAGTGCTAAATTACACCCATTGATAACACTTGAATGGTAAATAACGCTAATTACGGGATGCAGTTTCATAATGCAACTTGTGGTTATTGTAAATAATCTAATGCAGCGTTCATTTAATTCATATTATTACTACATATTAAAGTGCGCTTTTAATATTGTGTACTTCAATATATTTATTTATTTTATTTTTTTAATCCCCAATCTTCGTCCCATCTATCTACCATACGATGAAAAAAGGCATATAAAGGCCAAAAAAGTAATAACTTTATTCATTTTTGGAAAGTCTTTTTCCTTTTATGCAAGACCAAGGTTGTGCAGGTGTTGAAAAATACTATTAGGTTCAATATAACACATAAAAGAACATGCCCAGGTCACATAGAGAAAAAGTAAGAAATGCTATTTTGCATAATGAAATTGAAGTTTGAACCATTAGGATTTTTTGCATTTCTCATTAATTCTCATTATTATCATTATGTATCAAGGTATTCACTTTTCTGTATTTTCATTATTATCGATGGTGATTCTCATTACTTTTGGTTTTGAGGTGAAATATGATTCAAGCGCACTTAACTCAATGACTCAAGTTCAAATTAAATTTTCTGCGTTTCACACATTAACATCCCTTAAAATACACTATGCCCTGCTAAATACGGTTTCATTTGTAAATACCACACACATCAGGGAATTTAATCTCAAATGTCTACGCATCATGCATAAATATGAAAGGAACACTAAGACTAACTCAAAGTCTAATACAGGTATTATATCTGAGCTAGACAAGTGAGAAAGATGTACAAACTTGGTATCCCTAATGGCTGCTGGGGCATGCTGGGAAAACAGGTAGTGCTGAATCCCTCTCTCTGTATTCAGTGAAGTGTCAGTCTCAAGAGAACAACCACACAATGGAGCTGATGGGGCGACAGGTAAGCAGCGCTCCTGTGACAGACTCCACCGGTACATGCGGTCTCCTCCACTGCTGGTGAGACTGAATGAGGATTTGAGGAACTCCCTGTGACAACAGCTGTAATCATGGAGCGGTATTCTGTCCACGATCTGATAATGTTCATCTAATAGCCCTCTGCTTTCTACAACATTTCTTTACAGTATCCTGCTTGTTAAAGCAACAGCAGTCAAAATGTTTCAAGCATCATAGATTTTTGAAAGGTTGAAAGCAGGGCTGAGAATCAAGGCAGACACCGCTTTTTGGAATCCACAAAGAAATCCCTCAATTTTTGCCACACAATCCCTCTGGCTCAGAGTTATTTATTTGCTTTAGCAGAACTATGGGACTGTGATTACCTCTATCATGGCTCAGATCCCCCTGTTCGGCCACATAAAACCCACCAACACACAACGCTCGGTGTTTAGAAATTCTGGTATTTTTATGGTGAAGAATATTTAAGTTTAATTACTTAAACTAAGAGATCAAAATGAACCAGTACTCAAAATGGACATGTCACATAAAAATTAAGCTTCTGTAATTATTTACTCAACCTCATGTTGTTCCAAACCTGTAAGCTGTTATTTTTTCCATGGAAAACACACAAAAAAAGTAGTTTAAAAGAATCTTTCTCGTTTTTCATACAACTTTAAACATCAATTCTGGCCAAAAAATACAAGTCCATAATCAATAATAATGCTTCCTTTAGTGAAAAAATCCAATCCGTGTTGTCCTCTCACATCAAGATCCACCAACATACTTGTTTAGAACTGTTTTGGACTGTTTACGCTAGTAAACGGTGCTTTGTCTGTGCATATTTCTCTTCTGATTCAGGCAACTTTTTCACTGGAGGAAGCAATATCATGGATAAAGGATGCATATTTTAGCCAAAAGCAACAGTTTGAAGTAAAAAAGGTCTTAAAGATGGATTTTATTGCAAACATGCAGCTTTTCACTTCACAAGACATTAACTGATAGAGATTCTGATGGCACCCATTTACTGTAGAGGATCCATTGGTGAGCAAGTGATGTAATCCTACATTTCTCCAAATCTGTTCCAAACTCAGATAGCCTGAGGGTGAGTAAATTTTCAGTAAATTTTAATTTTTGGTGAACTACTCCTTTAAGAAATTTGGCACACAAGTCATACAGACTGTGTATGATTTTTTTTTTTTTTGTCTTTTTTTATCTTGACAGCCTGAGTTTCCTAAGAACTCTCATTCTATGATCAATGTTTTGACTCTTTAAAAATTCCTTTTTGTGTGTTCCACAGAAAAACTTCAGAGCATTTGAGTTTGTTCCAATATTACTGAGTAAGTAAAGACTTAAGAATTTTTATTTCACTTTCCTTTATGGAATTTAGCAGATGCTCTTATCCAGAGTGAGTTAAAAAAGAGCTTCGGTTTTCATATGTAAACTGCTAAGGTAAACAGATGGCAAGCGTGCACTTCTGAATGGTTATCTGCAAGCTGTGGCAGATTTCTCCCTTGACAAGTATTTTACAAGCAATTACCTGGCAGCGACACATTCTGTAGGCTTATCATACAGCAAAAATATCAAGTAACAAATAAACAAACAAAAACACTGCATAAAGGGACTGTAAATGATTGATTTGGACTGTATTTGATGAGCTGATTTGGATTACGCTGTTCACTTTGACAGGTAATGTCTACAACCTTTCCTCTTTTACTGTCACGTGTGTTTCCTGAGATGCAGTCACAGTACTGGTACATCAGCAGAAATACTTCACTTATGTTTCAAGATAATAAACAAAAGGCAGATTCCCTGCTGAACACTTCTCTCATACACTGTAAAAAAAAATCCGTAAAATTTACGGTAGAAAACCGGCAGCTGTGGTTGCCGGAATTTTACCGTAAAAAATACGGTAGCAACGTTTTAGGCATATCATACAGAGAGTCTCCCGCAGGGGAGCTGCCAGCATGGATACATACCATCTCCGCAAGACTATAAGTGTCTTCCTTTTACAACAGAGTGCATTATAACCTTAATATTATCAAAGCACAAAGCTCTCAACACTTTTGACAGCCCTGTAATTCAAGATCCAACGTGCAGAGCTTGAATGATGAGCCATTCTT